TCTACGTGAAAAATTCATGGAACAAGCAGCCACGGAATAGTGAAAAAGGCTAAATTCTGGAACCATAAACACGAACATCTTTCCTTTGTTTTTATGGCTTTAATCCACTTTGGAGTGATTTTTTTCCACTTGGCCGGACCTGTACGTTTCCTGTGTTAATGTTGGTACATGTAATATGCTAATTCTGTACTGTGGAGATCATTAAGAGACATTGTCAGATGAAAAAATCTTTCTCTAACACTGTTGACCTTGAACTGGAAGTGTTGGGAGTGGCATCAAGTGCTGGGCCGGATGTCCGTGGCATTTAGGCAATTGCTGGATGTTCGGCCCCTCAGCTGTTGGCCAGCAGTAACTGTGGCCCCCGGAGCAATTTAGTCGAATAGCCCTCCATACCCTCCATCAATAGCATTCCATGATGAGAATGTGGAATGATATTTTAAAAGGTTTTACCAAAATGGCTAAAATTCAACATAATACAATCTTTTAGGCTAAATTTTTGAATTACGGCGGGTGACAGGCATTCATTCTAAGAACACCACCCCTGGTTTTCAATTGCCTCGAAAATTGAGTCGTTCATCGAAAAACTCGTCAAGTTGTTAAATGATAAACCGGCCTGCCATACAGTCTGTGTGCTCTTTTGGTTTCCTGAAGCTCCGCCTACTTTCTATACCGTTAAAACTCAGCGTCAAATGTATGTAAAAGAAAAAGTCGTCCGTAGTAGTTGCGGAACAAGCGATTTAAAAAAGGTGAGAATTTGAGAGTAGGAGGAAGAAGAAATTATTTAGGGTTTTTTAACGGGGCGTGGCTAATCTAACACACAAACACGCGCACGCATAACTTTACTGTAGAGAGGGGTTCATCAGGCACTTCACTCAACGCGACGCTTTTCTTCGAGCGGACGAGCCCTCCTCTGTTTCGACGAAAAAAAAAAAGGAAATGAGATGAAGAGGAGGCTACACAAGAAATACATTATTTTGATTCTGGCATATTCGGGTTTGCTCCTGCTAATCCCGTACGTGTTAGATTACCGGGATAAATCCGCTCAGCGCGCCAGCCCGCCGCAGCAGCAGCCCAGATGCCCGGACCTGGAGAACACGGCGGCTCTCCTGTGGGATGACGGCTACAGAGCCAACGGCTCCGACGGCTCGGAGGACCCGGCCAACAACAGGAGCCAGCCCCGGACCCACATCTACCTGCATGCCACCTGGAGGACCGGCTCSTCGTTCCTGGGGGAGCTGTTCAACCAACACCCGGACGTCTTCTACCTCTACGAGCCCATGTGGCACATATGGCAGGCGCTGTACCCGGGGGACGCGGGCAGCCTCCAGGGCGCGGTGCGGGACATGCTGGGCGCGCTGTACCGCTGCGACTTCTCCGTGCTGCGGCTGTACGCGGGCTCGCAGAACATCAGCACCGCCTTCATCTTCGGCTGGAAGATGAACAAGGTGATCTGCTCCGAGCCGCTGTGCCAGGCGCACCGGCGGCACGAGATCGGCCTGGTCCGGGAGGAGCAGTGCGCCAAGTGCCAGAAGCGGGACCTGCGGGAGCTGGAGAGGGAGTGCAGGAAGTACCCGGTGATGGTGATCAAAGGAGTCCGCGTCCTGGACCTCAGCACCCTGSTGCCGCTGATGAGAGACCCCGCGTTGAAGCTCCAGATCGTGCAGCTCTTCAGAGACCCCAGGGCCGTGCACAACTCGCGCCTCAAGTCCAAGCAGGCCCTGGTGAAGGAGAGCATCCAGGTGCTGCGGAGCAGGAAGCAGAGCGACAAGTACAAGCGGCTGCTGGTGCCGAGCAACAGGCTGAACCGGGCCGAGAGCTACGTGTCCAGCGCCATGGAGCTGATCTGCGACAACTGGCTCAGCGACATGATGCTGGTGCGGAGCGCGCCCCCCTGGCTCAGGAGGAGCTACCTGCGCCTGCGCTACGAGGACCTGGTCCTGCGTCCCATGGAGCAGCTGCAGCGGCTCCAGCGCTTCTCCAACCTCTCCTCCGTGCCGGCCCTGGACAGGTTCGCGCTGAACATGACGCGCGGCCGCGGCTACTCCTCCGATAAGCCCTTCCTCATCTCGTCCAGGGACGCCCGGGAGGCCATCTACGCGTGGCGGGAGCGGCTGAACGTGGAGCAGATCAACCAGGTGGAGGCCTACTGCAGCGAGGTCATGAGGCTCCTGGGATACGAGCGGAGCCGCGTGGAGAAGGCCAGCTGATGGGGACAGCACCTGGGAGCAGGTAGGGTGCCATTCAACCTGAACCACTGTGCAGCTGTGTGTGCAGCTGTGTGCAGCTGTGTGCAGCTGTGTGTGTGCAGCTGTGTGTGTGCAGCTGTGTGCAGCTGTGTGCAGCTGCGTGCAACTGTGTGCAGCTGTGTGCAGCTGTGCCCTGACCTCCATCTGACTGACAAACTGAAACCACAGGTCCCAGTTTACCACAGGATCAGAACCCTTACAGTCTGTGGGTCTACTTTAAAACCTTTACGCACCTTTTATTGTTCTTGCTGCTTTGTTTGAATGTTTGCAACAAAATAATGATGCAACATTTCAGTTTGTGGAGGTCTGAATCCACCTGTTGTTTGTATTAATTTAAAACCTCGTCCCTCATCTCRCTCATATAATGTATAAACACTGCAGGACCCTCATAAATAAACGACTCTTATTTTTCTGTTTCCATCACATCTTTCAAATTCAGACCATCTGCTTAGGAAAAAAAACTAAAATAAATGTGTCGTGGTCAGTGTTGTATAAAGTACCACAAAGTGATACTTAAGTAAAAGTGCAAGTATCTTAACAAAAAATACTTTGGTAAAAGTTTAAAGTCTCCTTTAGGAGTATTACTTGAGTAAAAGTTAAAGTATCTGATTTTTTTTTGTACTTGAGTATTAAAAGTAAAAGTATTGATTTAAAA